CTTTCCAGCAGCATCCGTCAGGAACCTGTATATCCGTGGAGACGCTCCAGTTTTTATAGAAACTTATTGCATTTTTTTGTACTCCATAGAGATTGACATGTTATTATGGGACACCCTCTATAGGACTAGCATATTGTTCACACATTTGTCGCTCCAACTACGCTATCCATACTTGATGCGAAGGAGGGCTATACGACTGATGATAGACCTCTCTTCCACCGGTATGTCAACGAACTTTGCTCCTCTACGATACCGCTACATTTTTAGACGTGTCATTTGGACCTGCTTCTTATTGTAACTTAATCGGCCTCGAGAATGGGCTGATATGTACCTTGGATTTTGTTTTGCTGTCTACCATCGAAGTTTTCAATCAGAAAATAACATGCAACATACTGAAAATTCACTTACTTCTACTGGACTATTTTTTAGTTTCTCGTACAGTTTGGAGCCGTATCGTTTCGTGCGTACTCTTTAGCGGAAAGGCGTAGTACCTTTTCGAAATAAAATTATGATTTCTTTGACCCTAGCAGCTGAAAATACGAGGATGACTATTAATGAACCTTAATTATTAGAAAGCAGAGATAAATTGTGGGTATGCTGCTCGGGACTTTTTAGAGTCCCGTACAAAATGTTAATATACTACGCTTGAAAACGATTATAAACGCGATAAATATAATAAAATTGAGGAATCTCTGACAGCCGAAAATAACCTAACAGGTAACGGTACCTGTTTTTCTACAAGCCCTCAGCTATCCAGTGATAAATGCCACTAAAATTAGTACAAAATGGTTATTGCAACTCTTAATTAAATAGTTACAGAAGAATGCAACTATTTTGGTACCACATAACATTGAGTATTTGTTCAGGAAAACGGAAAAGCAAGTATATATGTTTTTTAAAGTTGAAATAAGAAATGCATACGGAATTTACAATATAATACAAAATCACACATTCACTTGCTAACTTATTGGAACATTTAACATTGGATGTGGATATGTGACAAGCTTATTTATCTTCAATAACAAAAATGCTCATTTCTCCCTGGAGTGAAATGCGACTAAATAAATTACTGCTAGACGAAAAAAAATATTTTCAACGATGACGCTCTTAAGCTCGAGCTTTTAAATGTATGTCGCTTGTAACTTCCATATCTACTAGAAGATTCAACAATCTACATTAATTTAGGTTTTTCGGCCGTGGTCGTGTCGGATTTGGTCCATAGCTTTCGGCTACAGCTGGGGTAGTCATCTTCAGTGGCACTGTCGGCGAGAGCGAAGTGCTCGGCTTGGCGGGTCGACTGAAACTGATTGGTTAATTTTTTTGGTGAGGGGGGAATGCATTTACGCACCATACCATAGCCCGAGCTACGGCGTGTGTGGGACTCCAGGGTCTTGAGGAGATCACCTAATACCCACTAAACCCTAAACCTCCGCGTGGCCTGACTCATCAGCGTCTCGGTAGGCCATGTGTTGTGCGTGACCTGCGGTCTGCTACAACGTCTCCTCATGTGTTTCAGTCTCTGGGAACGCCGGGTTGGTTCCCTTTACCTCGCACATTCTATCGATGTCGTTAAGCGATCATCGATAGAGGGTCTGCTGGTTCTCTTGAAACTCTTGTTTTCGAAAAATCAAGAGTTTCAAGTCCTCTTACCAATATGTTGTTCCTGGTCCTGGTCCTGGAGGGTCCTGGTCCTGGTGGGTCCTGGTCCTGGTCCTGGTTGGTCCTGGTCCCGGTGGGTCCTGGTCCCGGTGGTTCCTGGTCCTCTGCATCCACGCCGTGGGGGGGGGGGGGAGCAACCGCGAGTTCTCCTAGTCTCCTAGTCAAGGTTCCAGTTAGCGGGTGCCAACTGGGACCTTGGTCTGGGGTACCTGGTTCTGCGGTTGCGAGGCCTCTCATCCGGATCGTAGTCCATGAGGAATCGTAGCTGCTCGTTCGGGTGGTCCTGAGCTTTCTCGAAGGTCTTCTCCGCTTTTTTCCTCATGTACTCGTGGATGGTGTCCCAATGCAGGTCTCTACGCAAGGTTGAGTTTCTTACGTAAGATGGTGCACTGGTGGCGATCCGGAGTAGCTTCATCTCTAGAGCAGCAAGTCGCTTGCGGTAGCTGGGGGCAGCGTACCCCCAGACCGCGGAGGCGTAAGCGAGCTGAGGTCTGGCGATGGCCTTGATCAGCCGTAGCTTGGTCGCTAGCGGCATCCGGCTGTGTCTACCCAGTAATGGGTAGAGTTGAGCCATGGCTGCTCTGGTCTTTGCGATGACAGCTTCTATGTGGGCTTTCCAGGTGAGGGACTTGTCAAATACGATCCCCAGATATTTGACTTTGTCGCTCCACTGGATATCTTCGTCGAAGATGGATGCTTCGAGAGGTCTTGCAATCCTTCTTCGTTGAATGAAGATTGCCGGCGTCTTTTGGACGTTGATGCGGATTTTCCATTTCACGCACCAGTCCTGGATGTGGTCCAGTTCATCCTGTAGTCTCCTACGGATGATCTCGGGTCGTCTATGCTTGGCGGCTATAGCAGTATCGTCTGCATATAGGGCCAGCATTGTGTCAGCTGTCTTCGGCACATCGTGAGTATAGATGTTGTAGAGCAGGGGGGCTAAGGCTGACCCCTGGGGCACGCCTGCTTCCAGCTGTCGTCTTGTTGAATGGCATGTACCAATCTTCACCGTGAACCATCTTTGTGTTAGATAGCTCTGGATCAGTTGGCACATGTTCGCATCGATTCCGGCGGCTTCCATTTTGGCGATGAGTCCATCGTGCCAAACTCGATCGAAGGCTCGTTCCACGTCCAGCAGGACGAGACCGGTTGCCTCCTGGAGATTGAAGCCGCTGGTGATGTTTTCTGTCAGTCGTAGCGCTTGGAGTTCCGTGTTGTGGGAGGATCTGAAGCCGAATTGCTCTGGGGGGAGAAGTTGCAGTTCTTCTGCCTGCTTCTCTAGTCGAACGGCGATAGCCTTTTCGACTACTTTGCCCATCGAGGAAACCAGGCTGATGGGCCGGTAGTTCTGGGGCAACTTCCGGTCCTTGCCTGGCTTGGTGAGCATTATAACCTGGGCTTCCCGCCACCGCCGCGGGAAGTGGTTAAGTCTCAGGGTGGCATTGGCGATGTTGGTGAGCGCAGCAATGCCTTTGGTGGGGAGGTTCTTCAGCATCCTGTTGTTGATGCCGTCCCTTCCCGGCGCCTTTCTGACCTTCAACCTGCGGATGATCAGACGGATTTCCTCTGGACTGGAGGGGTGATCCGTCTCCTGGCCAGGTGGTCGACTCCTCAAGTTTTCGGCTGCGACTTCCACGGCCTCCTCGTGGTTGTCGTCCTCGTCTTCATGGTAATTGAGTCTGCATTCGGATTCTAGCGAATCGGCGAATGCTTCGGCTTTTTCTTCACTGGAGTAGGCCAAGCCGCGTTGGCCGTGAAGAGTGGGGATCGTGGTGCGCTGACGACGAAATTTTCGCTGCATAGACCAGGCCGTACCATCCTGGGTCTCTAGTTCTGCACAGGCTGCATTCCATCTGCTGTTTTGGAGTTCCGCGAGTGCGTTCTTCAGAGCTAACGATGCTCTGTTTCGCGCAGCTCTCGACTCCTCTGTCAACAGTTGGAGATGTTCTCGCTTGAGTCTTCTGTTCTCCCTGATCAGGTGCCTAATATGGTGCGGTGCTGGACCATTTAGGTGTCTAGGAACTGCCGTAGTCTCGGAGCGGGTGCTGTCCTCGTGCGCTCGCAGGACAGCATTCTCCAGCTTCTCTACTGCGTTGTCCAGTTCTTCCGCTGATCGGATGGTTGGAATTTGAGTGATGTTCCTTTGGACGTTGGATTTGTACAGGTTCCAGTTCGTCCGTTTGGTGCTCAAGCTATCTCGAGTTCTAGACCCTGTGCCAAGTGTTAGTAGAATCGGATTGTGGTCCGACGATCCTTCCACCAGGGTCTCTATCTCGAACTCCTCTCTGATGTTGCGGAGGATGGCTATGTCCAGTACCGCAGGTCGCCCAAGGCCGAATGGAATGTAGGTTGGTTGCTCCGGACCGACGATGACCCCCGCCAGGGCATCGACGTGTTCCTGGAGCTGCCTTGCATTCCTGTCTTCGACGTTGTTGTTCCATGCCGGAGACTTGCAGTTTAGATCTCCGATGACTATGCGTGCTCCTGGGCCTCTCAGGAGGTCAGCGATGTCATCTTCGTCTAGGGCCTCCCCTGGTGGCACATATAGGGAGGTGATTCTGTAGGGACGGTGGTTGTGATGGACCTGGACCGTAATTCTGTCCCCATTTATGTCTGCGGCATCGTCGAGGACATGACTCGTCAAGGTACGTTTGACGAGTAATGCGACTCCTCCACCTCTGCCCCTTCTGTCGTAGCGGTACGTCTCGTACCGCGGGAACGTCAGACTATGGGCAGCATCCAATTTCGTTTCTTGGATGGCCATCACCTCTGGTTGGTACTGGTCTAGTATCTCCTGGATTTCTGGTTTCCGTGCCCTGAATCCGTTGATGTTCCAGGAGATAATGCGTAGAGATTCTACGTTTTGCCCTGTAGTCATTTCGGGTCTAGTGCTTGTCTTGCATCTTGGCCTCGAGTGCATCCAGGCGGGTTATGATGGCTTGCATCATTGCTAGCAGTCTGTCATCGCCGTGTTGCTTCTGCGCAGTAGTTCCAGTAGCAGTGGCGGCTGCTGGGGCAGAAGTGGACATAGGTTTCTTCGCTTTTTGAGCATCGTAAGAAGTCCTATTTGTGGTGGGGACTGCTTTGGGGGCAGAAGCAGCTTTCTTCGGGGCCTTACTACATCCCTTGTAGTTGGCGGGGTGGCCTTCTCCACAGAGGCAACACTTGGCGTTTCGTTGCCCTGTTGGCGGCGCTGGCAGACTGCAGCTGGTGCTGTTGTGGTCCTCTCCACACTTAACGCACCGTTCAGCGAGACGGCAGTTCCGCTGTGTGTGCCCGTACCGCTGGCAGCGGTAACATTGGCTGGGCTCGGAAGACTTTTTCTTCCTCTCGAAGCTGACCGTGAGCATGGCCAGCCTCTGGATCTCTGCAAGCTTTTCCGGCATCTTCGTCTTGACGAGGAAGAGCGGAAGTGGCTTCTTGGTGGTCCTTGAGGTCATCTGCTGAACCTCGGCGTCTGCGATGCCTTGGCTCACTAGATCCTCTTTGTTGTCATTGACTGACATCTCCCTGGGAAGCCCACGAATGACCCTCTGGTCCATCCTGTCCTCCTTCAGCTGATAGGTGAAGAAGGGCTTGATGGATTCCAGCAGTGCGACTAGCTGACGGTAGTCAGCTGGTGTATTTGTGAATACCTTCACACTGGTACCCGCCGTCCTCGCCTTGGAGAATTGAATCCCCTTGCTGTTCATCATCCTGCTTAAGGATGACCAATCAGCGGTGCCCTCGATATTGATTGGCGGAACTCCTGTTCCTGCCATGGGGGGCACGATGGTCCTGGCTGCTCTAGGACTCTTCTTGGTGGCAGCAGCTGGCATCTTTGGCTGCCTTGGTGACTCATCTTCGGAGGAGGAGACTCGCACCCGCTTCCTCCGTCTGGTGGCGACACTGAAATCGGTGTCATCCGTCCTCTTCTCGGTTTCTTCTTCGTCAATATCTTGGGCATCCATGTCCCTGTTCTCCATAGGCTGCTGGTCCTCGTCTCCCTGGTCCTCTCCTTCTTCTTCTTCCTCCGTCTTCTTCGCTTTCCTCTTCGCTTTGAGGAGCTTCCTTTTCACCTCATCGATCTCATTCCTCGCCTGCTCGAATGCTTCTTGCAGATTTTTCATCTGCTCAGCAAGCATTGCGAAGTTCTCCTCCTTCTGCTTCAGCTGGCTCGCCAGCTTTTCTATTCTCGCCATCGTGGATGGCGATCGTACCGTGATGAAAATCACAGTAGGATCGCACTGTAAGTCCGGGTTGGTCGCAGTCGCACAAGTGTATACTCGCGACGGCTGCTAGCTCGGAACTGATTGGTTAACTGGATGAGCGTGCGGTTTTATAGGCGATCGGCGGACTGAGGACTGAGTTGTATGGTGGAGGTACTCTGTGTTTCTTGAGTGACGTGGCTTTTGCGCTGTGTTTTTTAGAATTGGGAACCACGTTTTGCTTAAAGCAAGGGCTTTTTCTTTTCTATTGAAATTATCGTTGTGTTTATAGATTTCAATTGCTTCTCTGTACATTCCGGCTGCGAAGTGGGTGGATGTTGATACGACTTCAGTTTGGTCGAACAGAACATTGTGGCCGACTTGGAGTGCGTGTTCGGCTACCGCTGATTTATCAGTTTGTCCCGTCGACAGTTTCTTTCATGCTCCTTGATGCGTGTTTGGAAGCTACGTTTAGTGGTGCCTAGGTATACCTTACCACATGAACACGGTATTCTGTATACGCCGTCACCGCTCAGAGGGTCCCTAGGGTCCTTTACCGATGTTAGGAGTTGCTGGATTTTATTTGTCGGCTTGTAGATGGTTGTCACGTTGTGTTTCTGCAACAACCTTCCTATTCTATCCGTGATGTCTTTAATGTATGGTAGGAAGGAGACTCCCGCAGGTGGTTCCTTGTCTCCTGCCGGCGGTCCGCTTTTTTGTCGTGAATCCTGTTCTACTTGTTCCCTGCGATAGCTGTTTGCTTGTAAAACCATGTTAACATGATCCAGTTCCGCCTGCAGGTATTGAGGTTCACAAATTCGATGTGCCCTGTCTATCATATTTTTATGATAACTCTTTTTTGCCCAGTATGATGGTTGGGGCCTTGTGTAGATATCTGTCAGTGTTTGCGGCAAACCCTGTGACCTAGCTTTAAGTTCTCTCGTCTACTAGTCTCATCTCCATTAAACACTTGATTCTTGTCCCAGTCGTTTATAATCAAGTCCTCGGTATGTTTCATACACTTGGCCCAAACTGTAGGAGTCACCTTCGCTAGAGCATCGTGTCAAACTTTCAAAACTTTCTTGTTACCATAACCATTTTCTCCAATATAACAATCATAGTACTGTTTGGCTATTCCCCAGACTAGCTCAATAGGGTTGTATTGACAATGCTAAGGGAGAAGCCACATAAATTTAAAAGCTCGAGTTTAAAAGCGTCATCATCAAAATGTTTCTTCTTATCTTGCAGCCATTGCTTCAATTGCATTTTACTCCAATTGGATTTGGGCCTTTTTCTGTTAAGGCACTATGATAAGGAGCATTATCCATGATTACTAAAGATGGCTCTTGTAACGATGGTATCAGCTTCTCACATGCCCATTTTTTGAAAGAATCTTTGTCTATGGAATCGTGATTGTCAGCATTTTTTGATTTTGTAGCCAATAACAATGCAATATCTCTCAAAAAATCATTTTTGGTCCCAGTATGGAGAACAACCACTATAGCCGTTTTTATCTTGCCAAACTCGATTAAACGACGCTTTGGCAAATATCCACGTTTTATCTAAGAATACGCTTTGGAGAGGGATTGCACTATTCAGGTTATTCATAAAATAGATACGTTTGGAAACAATGTCTGATTTTTCACACAAGAGTCGGTGGTTATCATCTGTCTTGTAGGAAAAACCGCAAGCTTTCAGTAGACGCCTTGAACTTGAATCCGAGGCATTGTATATGTACCTTTTTTAAGCTCCTGTTAGTCCTTTACCTCCCATACCGTATAAAGTATTCATAATTTTGTTTGAGGGCATCACTTACATCATCTGTCTTGCATTTTTTGATTTTGTGAGTTTCCGAAGGTGTTACTATGGGCAAACCTTTCTTATTTTCCGATTTTAATCGGTGAACAATGCGCAGACTAATCTTCAGCGTATCTGCCACTCTCTCCAGTATGCATGAAGTGGATAAGTAACAGGGGACTGCTGTTTTCATTTTCTTCCTGGAAATACTCTAATAAATTTAAGGGCACTCATACGTAACGAAAATTTTCGAGACGGAGACACGCAGATAAAAAACGTATGTCTTTGAGCTTACCAACAAACGTTCACACAGTGTTAGGTTGCATGTGTATCTATGAGGAAGATAGAGATATATAAAAAGATACTGGTAGTCTTACTTTGACCCGCCAAGTACGGTGACTACAACTATATCAATGAAAATACAGTGCGCTACTAGACCAGGAAGGTTTTTTAAAATCTTGGTATAGATGGGAGGTATCTGCCTTACCCAACTGATCAAAAATGAAAGCTTCTGAAAATTGGAAAAAAATATTATCTTGTATCATACTTTATACTATTGAGGCTTAATATTACAGCATTCCATTAGTTTAGGTATGAGAGTTTTTATTAAAATAAAAATAGCGAATCGTTATGACTTCTGCTAGGCTATTTTTGACAGCGCATTCCGACGAAAAAATGGTATTCATGATCGCTAAAGTGAACCGTCGTAATTTGACAATACTGACCACTGACAGTCTTGACAGGTTGCTTATTTTTTGCGATTTTGATGCCAAGCTAACCCCAAAATTTCAAAACCTTTTTTAATTTTTTCATAGAAATTAAACATATCTGCAAAACAAAATGCAAATATACAAAAACCAGCATTCGAAATAAGGAAAGGAATGTGCGGTGCAACCGGAAATGGAAGGAATTATGAAAAATACAGTATGTCGGCAAGTAAGTAATCGCAGAAGGTAAAAAAGTCTTGATAGTATATTTTGTCGTTATGATTTGTAATATCACCGCTCATAAGTGGTGGATTTATCCTCCTTTAAAATGGTCGAATGATATCCTCTTACTTCTATTTTGGTGGTGATTCCGTATCCGTTGATGCTCAATAAGGAAGTTAAACAAGATACACAGTTAGGGACTCTAAAGAATCTGTTTTTATCTTAAACTAACTGACACGACAAACGTTCGCCTGTCTTAGCTATGAACTGGGACGAATAATGAATAATAAAAGGGTAAATATTTGGAATATAGGTAATTGTATAGCGAAGTGTTTGTACCGATATGTGGCTAGCAAAATACGTTGGCAGCACTGCCATTTCCCCATCAACTTACCTTGAAAGTATGCATAAAATTATGTGGAATGAGTAAAAAAAATTGTTTATAGAATGTGGCCTATTTCCGGACACAATGAATGTAGTGGCTCTGGTGGTGGTACCAATGGCGTCAATTTGTGGAATGGATTTTGATGCCCCAAGTGACGTCATTTGAAAGCAATTAGAGTATTGCTGAATATGAGATCAGATCAGAAAATGTATAGAATCTGGCCCATTTCTGGAAACCAATGAATGTAGTGGCTCTGGTTGTGGCACCAATGGCCCAATGGAGCCAATTTTTTGATATTTCCACTGCAATGTGGACTCACAACGTTCGTTGGTGCAATAGCAATGATTTGTTGTGAACTGTAATCGATTGCCATGTCATAATTGAATGCAGCTCGATTGGGATTAAATGTGACACTTCTACGTTGATGAATATATATATATACGTATATGGTGTCCCATCCATGTGTGGACGGAATATTACTCATAGACAAATACATTTTGAAAAAATCTATTTATGGGATGTTACACATCACATTTGAGGGCACATTTATAAAATATTGGCCATTTTACAGGGTGTCCCAATTTCGACCTACATATCAAAGTTGTGATTTTTCAAATAGAATGCCTCAAATTTTATTGCATATTCGGATAAACCAATTCAAAAGAAGAAAATTGACATGACATAATATGAGGTTTTGGTAAATAGCTACTGAGATATAAGGTGTTTTGTCTAGAAAAAAACCCCACTTCGGCAACCCCTCAGTCCGCCATTTTGAAATTTGGAGTGCTGAATTTTGTATAAAAAAAAACTGAAATATCTCAGCTTTTATCTTATTTGTTACTTTTTCGAATTTAAATGTTTGATGATACAGGGTGATCCAAAACGCAAATTGTAGTTTGTCTCCAAAATTTCAAATGCATCACCCTGTATATTTGTACAAGTTTGGATTATATTTTTTATAAGCTTTTTTTTAATACTAGACACATAAGGATTTTTACGGCTATTTTTTCGGTTATTAGCACGTCCTTTATGGAACGGCTTAATTCCCTAAAATATCGCATCATCCTTGGAAACAAATAAATTGTTGATTAGTTACAAAGTGTCAAAATTAACTTTGTGAGCATTATAATAAAAACGTGTTTGAAAATGAATTTTTATAAACAAGAAATGATGAATATGGTGTTCATTTTGGGCGAAGCCCAAAGAAATAGTTTCCTAGCATCTCGCGTTTATAAGCAACGGTACCCTAATATGCGACATCCAAGGCCGGAAATATTTTCCACGCTACGAGAACGTTTTGAATCAAGTGGAGCACTGGAATATAGTAAAAAATGTATAAATAATCCAAGTGTCACCAATGAGGCGAATCAGTTGGAGGTTCTATTAAAGTTGCAGGAAAATCCCCATTTAAGTGCACGGCAAATTGCAGCAGGAACTGATATATGCAGAACTTATGTCCATAGGATTACTCATAAGCATAGGTACCATCCATATCGCCTAAGCTTGCATCAAGGCCTTCGTCGTCAGGATTTCGCAGCTCGAATGGAGTTTAGTAGAATAATGCTAAATAAAGTGAGTGAAGACACTACTTTCCTGGATAAGGTTCTTTTTAGCGATGAGGCAACTGCTAG